CCCCCACCCCTAAAAGAAATCCCCCAAAACCCACCCATTACTGATCCACCTCTAGCCTCAGCCCAAAATCTCCATTCCAACACCAACCATTCACTCCAGCTTAAACTTTAATCAAATCTCTTTAGCTCCTTCTCCATATCACCTCATATTCAATAACCCCTTACTCTACCTCATTCCCAATAAAACCTATTACACCTCATATTTAATAACCCCTTACTCTACCTCATTCCCAATAAAACATATCACACCAACCCTTATATCACCTTATACCCAATAACCTCTTACTCCACCTCGTTCCCAGTGATACTTATCCCACCTCACACTAATTGACCCCTATCCTATATTGTATCCAGTGACGTCAAACTCTGAAACTTGTTTCAAGTTACATATTAACATCATCCTTATCAAATTTACTTTGTGTTCAATATCCTTATCAACTCCTGTATATTTATACACCCACGTTGAGGGGGTTGGGTTTGGGGGGTTAAGCTGGACAACTTTTCTTACAGTCATCAGTTGAATTGTTAACTCAGAATTGACATCAACTTAAAACAGAATACTTCATCACTGATTGGCTGATAATTTTAAGTTTTGTTCTTGTTTTATTTGTGCTTGATTTCAAAAATAAAAACTGCCGAAGCTGCACAAGAAAGTTTCTTCCATAACGATTAAGAATGGTTGCTGTGTCGGCCGGGTTACCTGTCAATGTGATGTAATAAAAGTTAGTTCATTGTTGTATTTCTTGGATATAATTATTTATTTCATTTATGGAAAGTTAGTCCCTAATTAGCTGCATTGAATGCACAAATAGATTAAAAAAACCATCAGAATCACACTGGTAAAAAAGTAAACCAAACAATGAAACAGCAAGAAATTTCGGGAAGATTTACTTAAGTTTATGAAACTGTCCATTATGATTTGTTTTGTAATTATGATGTTATATTTCAGATGGAGTTGATGTTTCCCCCAGTCCTCCTTTAGGTAAGGGTTGTTATGATATATGTAATACTATCTACTGGAGATCTTCCAACAGATATAACAAACATCATTGTATTGAAATAATTAAATCACTTCCGTGTACTGTGTGTCATTACATACAACAGTAAAACACTTCTGTGTACTGTGTGTCATTACATACAACAGTAAATCACTGCCGTGTACTGTGTGTCATTACATACAACAGTAAATCACTTCCGTGTACTGTGTGTCATTACATACAACAGTAAAACATTTCCGTGTACTGTGTGTCATTACATACAACAGTAAAACACTTCCGTGTACTTTGTGTCATTACATACAACAGTAAATCACTTCCGTGTACTGTGTGTCATTACATACAACAGTTGTCTTGGACACAAAATTTTAGTAGGACAAGGATTAATGGTGTCCTAAAAACCAGGAAAATATACTCTCACCTCCAAAACATATTTTATTATGTTATTTAGAATTTTTACACTTTGAATACAAAAAAAAAAACTTGCACGTCCTTAAATGACCAAAGCTTCATGCTGAAAAAAATTCTCCCAGTCAAACTTCCGTCCTTTATAAAGGACAAAAAAGGCGAAAATTAAACGGCAGCGAAAGTTTCCTTGTATATAGTGGCAGTAAGCTTTTATATGTAGCATTACACATAATGTACGTTACTGACCTCAACATTATCCATATACTGTAGAATCATTTATTTTCGTGGGGTTAAAATTTCGTGGTTTTCATAAACTAGCCTGTTTTATGGACATAATATTTTGCTAATTTCTGATTTCCCCCTATCTATATCTTACCAAATTTATGTTTTCGTGGGGATTTAATTTCGAGGATTTTTGTTATCCACGAAATAAACGAAATTTAATGTCCGACGAAAATTTATGATTTTACAGTGTAATATAACCAAAGATCTGCAGCAATTGATAAAGTTAGAATTTTATCAGGTGCTAAAGTACTTAAATGTCCACAGTATACAATTAATGGAGAAAAAAAAGAAGGAAATTGTAGTCTTCCTTACATGTATATATTTTGCACAAAATACTGTCAATGTGTTTTACAATCTCTGAATTTTGAACTCTGACCCTACAGATGCCCAGCCGGTGACGTACAAGGAGCCTGCCTTTTGGTGTTCAATTGCTTACTACGAGTTAAACAACCGCGTGGGCGAGACGTTCCACGCCTCGCAGCCCTCCCTCACTGTAGATGGATTCACCGATCCCTCTAATTCGGAGCGTTTCTGCCTCGGCCTCCTCTCCAACATTAACCGTACTCAGCAGGTGGAGATGACGAGACGCCACATTGGTAGGTATCTCAACTGAACACACAGGTGGAAATTCACTGTTCTGTAACCACAGTAACCATACTGTGGTGACACCACACTGTTAGGGGGTAGGGGAGGCGACCCCGGGGCTCAACAACCGTAAATATTTGAAATGTAAAATAAAAAAAATCAGCCATTAAGAAATTTTAGCAAGTGATTGAAAAATTGCATGTGCTAAATCAGAAATTCGCTTGCCAAATTTAACTTTGTTTTCATCAAAATATAACGTGAATGAAGATGTTAACAAATTAAACCGAGAAGATACTCGCATTGAAAGTGAAATAAACAACGACAGATACGACAATAAGGATGACCTTTTGGACGACATCTTGATTGATATCAGTATTGGATTTTTCAAAAAGAGGCCAACATTCTACTCACATAAATTTACTGAAAAGGGATATTTTAAGTAGCATATTGTTAATAACATGCATTTTGCTAGTAGATATGTTTTGTTTTGAGCGCTGGTTCAGCCGACTAGTAAACCTGTGTTGTTTTGAGCGCTGGTTCAGTCGACTAGTAAACCTGTATTGTTTAGAGCGCTGGTTCAGTCGACTAGTAAACCTGTATTGTTTAGAGCGCTGGTTCAGTCGACTAGTAAACCTGTATTGATTTGAACGCTGGTTCAGTCGACTAGTAAACCTGTATTGTTTTGAGCGCTGGTTCAGTCAACTAGTAAACCTGTATTGTTTTTAGCGCTGGTTCAGTCGACTAGTAAACCTGTACTGTTGACATCACCTGAATTAAAATGGTTGTGGCTTTGTGATAATATATGCATAACTTTGAAATTTAATCATGTTAGTATTGATTTTGAGTAGACTGCAAAGCAATGAAGTCAAACATATAACGTAAAAAAGCAACACATATACTTCTGATAAAAATGTCACGTCCACATATACTTCAGATAAAAACGTCCACATATACTTCAGATAAAAACGTCCACATATACTTCTGATAAAAACGTCCACATATACTTCAGATAAAAACGTCACGTCCACATATACTTCAGATAAAAACGTCCACATATACTTCTGATAAAAACGTCCACATATACTTCAGATAAAAATGTCACGTCCACATATACTTCAGATAAAAACGTCCACATATACTTCTGATAAAAACGTCCACATATACTTCTGATAAAAATGTCACGTCCACATATACTTCAGATAAAAACGTCCACATATACTTCAGATAAAAACGTCCACATATACTTCTGATAAAAACGTCCACATATACTTCAGATAAAAACGTCACGTCCACATATACTTCAGATAAAAACGTCCACATATACTTCTGATAAAAACGTCCACATATACTTCAGATAAAAATGTCACGTCCACATATACTTCAGATAAAAACGTCCACATATACTTCTGATAAAAACGTCCACATATACTTCTGATAAAAATGTCACGTCCACATATACTTCAGATAAAAACGTCCACATATACTTCAGATAAAAACGTCCACATATACTTCTGATAAAAACGTCCACATATACTTCAGATAAAAACGTCACGTCCACATATACTTCAGATAAAAACGTCCACATATACTTCTGATAAAAACGTCCACATATACTTCAGATAAAAATGTCACGTCCACATATACTTCAGATAAAAACGTCCACATATACTTCTGATAAAAATGTCACGTCCACATATACTTCAGATAAAAATGTCACGTCCACATATACTTCAGATAAAAATGTCCACATATACTTCAGATAAAAACGTCCACATATACTTCTGATAAAAATGTCACGTCCACATATACTTCTGATAAAAACGTCCACATATACTTCTGATAAAAACCTCCACATATACTTCTGATAAAAACCTCCACACATACATTGTTAATATTCAAATACATAAATAAGCAAGGTAAAAAAATACACATACTACATGTGAAATTTTCCACTGATATTTTCAAATGATGCATACAACACGTTTAAAACAGACATCAATTTTTTTTCCTTTCTTTTTAAAAACTCCATATAAACCAAATTATCCACAAAAGTTAACAATCCTCTTTAGGGTAAGGGAGACAACACAGGATATCTTTAATTTATGATAATAAACAAACAAAAAATCTTCCTATTTTGTGTCATTAATACATAATGTACTACCCGATGTTAAGTCTAATAGTCCTGTAAATAAGCCCACCTTGGTTTGTTTCATGGTAACATAGGTCAAAAATTTAAAAAACTGTTTCTTAAAATGGATGACAATCCACGTTTTTGGTTTCAAGTGAAAATCTTAATTAAAGTCATAATTTGTCTGTGGCTTAAGGGGGTAAATGGCTATAGTTTTAAAATCGAAATTCAGTAGGACTGCTGTCTCCTGATTGACCTGTTTTAATCGCATTTAATATATTTTACGAAATCATTACATATCGGGTTAGGGCACCTTGCCTGTATATCACTACCTCTGTACATGTTTAATGTGGGACTACTATGTTAGGACACCTTGCCTGTATATCACTACCTCTGTACATGTTTAATGTGGGACTACTATGTTAGGACACCTTGCCTGTATATCACTACCTCTGTACATGTTTAATGTGGGACTACTATGTTAGGACACCTTGCCTGTATATCACTTCCTCTGTACATGTTTAATGTGGGACTACTATGTTAGGACACCTTGCCTGTATATCACTACCTCTGTACATGTTTAATGTGGGACTACTATGTTAGGACACCTTGCCTGTATATCACTTCCTCTGTACATGTTTAATGTGGGACTACTATGTTAGGACACCTTGCCTGTATATCACTACCTCTGTACATGTTTAATGTGGGACTACTATGTTAGGACACCTTGCCTGTATATCACTTCCTCTGTACATGTTTAATGTGGGACTACTATGTTAGGACACCTTGCCTGTATATCACTACCTCTGTACATGTTTAATGTGGGACTACTATGTTAGGACACCTTGCCTGTATATCACTTCCTCTGTACATGTTTAATGTGGGACTACTATGTTAGGACACCTTGCCTGTATATCACTACCTCTGTACATGTTTAATGTGGGACTACTATGTTAGGACACCTTGCCTGTATATCACTACCTCTGTACATGTTTAATGTGGGACTACTATGTTAGGGCACCTTGCCTGTATATCACTTCCTCTGTACATAGTTAATGTGGGACTACTATGTTCATTTATCTATAGGTAAAGGTGTGCGATTGTACTACATTGGAGGCGAGGTGTTTGCCGAATGTTTAAGTGAAAGTGCTGTGTTCGTACAAAGTCCAAACTGTAATCAGAGATACGGATGGCATCCAGCGACGGTCTGCAAAATACCACCAGGTCTGTATAGCATGTTTACTAGGGCTGCAACGATATATCATGCAATTATATTTTGTGGATTTTGTCGTTTCTGAACTAAGTCCACTCATATCCGTTACAACATGGCTAGTGGCAGATCCAGCTCAGCATGCACATCGAAAGACGTAAATTGTGTGAAACTTTATAGTCATGCCCATTCTGGACCAAGTCTATTTCTAGTAGTAATATTGCCATTAAAATGTTCAACAGATCTTTTCTATTAACTTCTACTGTTACTATATGTATCATGACATGTGTTGTGATACCTATCCTATCGGCATGTTCATGTATTGTTGCAGCCCAAATGTTTACAATCATATATTCCAATTTCAACTTAGGATACCTGTAGCACTGCCAAAAACTCAAACTATCCAATCTAAAGTTATCATTCCGACATGATCATAGCATTGATAAATCATTTCTATAAAGAAAGGATACCTTGCACGACTTTCATGAAAAAATGGGAGATAGAGATGAAATAACCAAAAATTAATCAACAATGGTATGCTGTGTAAAATGTCCGCTTGGCTAGGCCTGGATTCGAACCCTGAACCTCACATTGTTGTACTGTTGCTCTTACCCATTGAGTTATCTAGTCATTACCCACTGAGTTATCTAGTCATTACCCACTGAATTATCTAGTCATTACCCACTGAGTTATCTAGTCATTTCCCACTGAGTTATCTAATCATTACCCACTGAGTTATCTAGTCATTACCCACCGAGTTATCTAGTCAGTGGAAGTATTATTGACCAACGGTGCTTCCGTTGTATCCTTAACAAAATTAAGGGGAGGTAACTGCACATATGATAAACCACAAGCAGTGGGACAGGCATCCTTAAGATGGACTTGTGAAACTACCAAATGTTGTCTTTTCTTTTATACATGAAAACGATCCTATTTACATTGGTTCTGTGTATGAATATGTTTTATTTCACATCGTTTAGCCAGTATAAATCCAATGCAAGAGTAGAAAAGTTTTGAGGTGTCGAACTAAGCAATACTGACAAAAAAACAAAACAAACTGTTTTTGTGCAAGAAATAAGAATGATTTATTTCTGACATATATCCAGGGATGTCCTTACTAATCTTTTAATGTATATACATTTCAGGTTGCAATCTTAAAATTTTTAACAATCAAGAGTTTGCCGCCCTGCTGGCCCAGTCGGTGAACCAGGGGTTCGAGTCGGTTTATCAACTCACTCGTATGTGTACTATCAGGATGAGCTTCGTCAAGGGTTGGGGAGCCGAGTACAGGTACGTACTGATGTAATGGTACATGGACACAATAATATCTCGCAGAGTTTTCCATGTCTCACTTTAGGCTTATATAAGCTCTAAGGATAGTGATTGTATTCTATTTATCATATACTTACTTTGGAGATTTTCCCCAAAGGTGTGCAGCATCTATTAATTGTAAGGCTGCTTTGTGATACTTTGGAAGATTGTACTTGGATTTTCACATCTTTATACTGCAAAATTCTAGCCCAAATCATCAGATGGATGGCTTTGTAAGTCACTTTTGGCTTTAGTCTGGCATTCAATTAACAATTCTCATCGTTGCTTTTTCTCCGAGAAATCTTTCTCAATTTTTTTATACAGATTCCCCTTAGGACATGGTATTGAATAACAATATGACTGAATTTGCGATATTACTTTATTTGATGTTACCGGTAGTTAAAAAAAGAAAAAAACACCGACTAACGTGATGTGCACGGTTGTACTTATCCTTCAATATTCTGGTCTGTCATACATTGCCCACTGTTTGCCCTGAATATCCAAATGTTTGTCATAAATATCTCGCTATTTGTTCTAAATATCCTATTATTTGTCCTAAATATCCCATTATTTGTCCTAAATATCCCATTATTTGTCCTAAATATCCCATTATTTGTCCTAAATATCCCATTATAGTCCTAAATATCCCATTATTTGTCCTAAATACCCCCCTGTTCATTCTAAATATACCACTGTTTGTCCTAAGTATCCCACTGTTTTGTCGTAAATATCCCATTATTTGTCCTAAAAATCTCACTGTTTATCCTAAATATCCTACTGTTTGTCATAAATATCTCATTATTTGTCCTAAATATCCCACTGTTTTTAGGTCACCTGAGCTTTAGCTCAAGTGACCTATTGCTATCCGTTTTCGTCCGTCGTCGTCCGTCCGTCGTCCGTTAACATTTTACATTTCAAACTTAAAGTCAAGTTCTGCTGGGCTGATTGAACTGAAAGTTGGTAGGAATGATCGCCTCATGGTCCTGACAAAGTGTTGTTATTTTTCGGGTCGATCAGAAATCCAATATGGCCGCCACGGCCGCCATTTTGAAAACCTATTTCAAACTTAAAGTCAAGTTCTGCTGGACCGATTGAACTGAAAGTTGGTAGGAATGATCGCCTCATGGTCCTGACAAAGTGTTGTTATTTTT